TATATATATATATATATACATATATATAAGACCTTAGTAGATTTCTTAAAGGAAATACGAGCCATTTTGATTTCATAAAATAAAGTCCTTTCACGAATCAAACCTGCAAAATGGCCTTCCAAAGAGTAGTACTTAGGAGCATTGAGATAAAGGGATGTAGATATGTTCCATTTACCATCGTCATTATTAGATGATAGAAATAAATTAGAATTGAGATTAAAAAGGGTGAAATTCGACCCTCCCTCTAACTGTAGCCCTGCAATTAGGAAAAATTATTCTGTGTGGAAATCAAATCCTGTCCGAATACTTAAGCCAGCGGCTCGGTACCGCTCGATATCACAGTACCGCGGCTTGGTATCACTGATGTGCCTCATTCTAATTGCTATCCGGATGTAAAACTGTGTTCGGCATCTGCACAAATTAATCTCTCCTGCAATTAGGAGCCATAAAATTATTTAAAGTTAGATATGGCACACAAGTAATAATAGACTTAAGAAAATGTAAGAGAGGAGATGGAAATAACACATCATAGAGCAACAACTGATGACATTCCACATAACTAATAAAGGCCAAGACAATCACCTCAAGCACATAATAATAAAAATTGAATATAATAGAAAGATGCAAATATCAAACAATCACCTCAAGCATGGTAGGTAATGTAAGAGGAAGTTCTTATTACTTTATGAAGCAGTTTATTTGTAAAAAAATTTAAATTTAAATTTTTTATATTAAAAAATTATTTCATAAAATAATAAGAAAGCTGTCCTAAACGAAATCTTAGTGTGCTGGTAAAACAAGATAACATCATTGGTCATGGGATTAGAAATGCCCACAAGTTTTTGAGAAATCACATATGACCTACTCCATCCCTAGTTGTGGGATGGGGCAATGGAAATACTAATGAGTAAAGGAAAGAGAATGGGTTACATGCAATGCAAACATCTGAATTCTAGTCATTAACAATTTCATAGAGAAGTTCCTCATTACCCAAGTTACTTGAGGTCTCATCAAATATAGGGGAGTAAGAGGACATACGTATATGCAAACCTTAACAACTGTAAACCTCACTTGGAAACAAGAAGCGAGCTAGTCTATTGCCAATATAATACTGAGGCTTCGTTTGAGACGATTTTTTTATTGCTTATTAAAGCAGATTTATAGTACTAAATCTAAAATTTATGTACTAGAAAGCTGCTATAAGAAGCATTAAGAAAGCCGTAACAAACGAAGCCTAAATTTGCTAGCAAATTTTGATATATTGGAGGTGTTCCAATAACATAATTACATATCAAATACTTAATATAGATAGATTCAAAGAAAATCCTTCTTTGCTGGTTTAGAATATAGAGTTTGCCTTTTGA